TTGCATTTGAATGCAAAATGCACAAGGTGGGATCACCACTTTCATTATATCTAGAAAACACTAGACAAGAACAAGAAATAAACAAGATCCACAAGTGGTAGGGAAGACAACGGGAGTTGACACAAACCTTGGCAAGAGAAAAAGGCAAATAAACAAAAGCCAATGTAAAGATGATCAATTAAATTCTACCACACATAAGTGATTACCAATTGTTAAAAGACAAGAAGTATTTGGAAATAATTCCCAGTGATAGATAGCAAGGATATCCGACATCATTTTCACTCCAAACAAAAAGCAAATTGCAACTTGTAGAGCTAACATGCCACCTAGGAACAAGATAATTTACAATATCAATTCTAGGTGATAATATCTCAAATGTACACATTTTCTAGGCTTGTAATATGCACTTAGCATATTACTCCCCCATAATGTGATACCAATAAGAACTTAACAAGAGGCAATAAGAGGATCCAACACGAGATAATCAATGGAATTTTTAGAATTTGAATTTCTCATGAGAGATATACCACCTAGCGACTAGATAATCTTGTAATATCAATACTAGATGGTATTCCTCATGTACACACATTTGTAGGATTGTGAGGTGCACAAAGCACATCACTCCCCCAAAATGGGATGTTCCATTGATCTCTCACACGATCCAACTAGGATACAAACAGGAAGCAAAAAGGCTCAACGCACGACGCACATGTACATGATGTGCAAACCAACACACACATACTTGATTGCTCAAGATAAGCAAGTTGGAAGCGCAACATATACAAACACATGCAAGGAACAAAACCAAAACATGCAAGGGGGCAAGTAACTTTCAAGGTAAACAATTTAAGTACAAGTTACCGCAAGGAGGCACATTGGATATAAGATAGAAACTTGATAATCCAATTGACTTGGCTTGAGACAAAGAGAATGATGAAGTCCCCTTAATTCTTCATGATGTAGCCAAGTCTCCAATGCCCTCCAACAACACCTATTGATCAAGTTTGAGCTTGTTGGTCCCCAACCAAGTTGGGTCCTAAGAGGTTAGTCACAATAGGTTTGGCTACCCAAATGGTTCTTTGCTTGACACCACTTTGAGTACCAACAAACTTGGCAAACACATTGCCAACCTTATCCTTACCAAGAGAATAGATATCATCAATAATAATTGGGTTGGATAAGTTACCACTAGTGCATGAAGAAGCGACGTGACCTTTCTCAAGACATAAGTAGCAACGTCTACTCTTCACTTTCTTCTCACTTGATTTCTCAATTTGAGAAGCATTAACTTGAGTCTTCTTGGGAAGAGGCATTTCTTCAACTTGATGTTGAGCATGAGATTGAACTTGTGCCCTCTTGCCTTGGTCGACGGAACCACCTTAACCACCTAAACATGGGCTTCCAATGCATGATATAACATAACCATCTAATATTCCAGTGCTAACATAACCATCAAATAGTCTTCCAATGCTAACATAATCATCCAATTTAAAACCTATTGCAAGAGAAATCATAACTTTTAGTCTACATCTCATGGCACAGAATATCTAATCCATCTTCCAATGCATGATATATCATCATTTCAAGTGTAGCCAACATAACACACAATACTTACTGGAGTTCAACATATTATAGGGTACACAGTAGGTCCATCACAATACATAATGGAGTTTGAGTTTAAATGCATAGTTCATCCTTTTCTCACAAAAGGATGAAAAGCATATCTACTACATACATACACAGACATAGTTCACAATTAGTAGAGCCATACACTACACAACCATCATGCCCAAAAGGTCAGCATTACCCACTAGTCTCATATTCATTTTCTTCACTTCTCTAAGATGGCCTGGATCCCCTTGATCTTCTCCTTCAGCTTCTCCTCTGCCTTCATCAGCTCAGCAATACGAAGCTCTAGCTGCCCCTTCTCTTCACCATGCTTTTCCTTTCCCTTAAGCAAATCAGCAACCTGAAACTTCAACTCTAGCTTCTCTTGGGTGAGCTTCTCCTCAGACTTTGTGAGCTCTGCATTCTTCAACTCCAAGTTCATCTTATCTTCACTAAGCAATTGCTTGTCCGTAATATGCTTCAGTTTCAAGTTCTGGATGACTGTTGCTTGTGCTCTTGTCAGGTTCAGTAGCACTTCATAATTCTGCTTAAGCTTCTTAGACTCTGCATCTTTATTTACCATATGTGCCTTCATATCAGCCACCAGTTCACTTCTGCATTGCTGCTGATATGTAAGGTTATCCTACAGATATCTGAAATCCACCACCCTGTCCTCCTGGAAGCTCATAAGCTCATGCACATCTTGGACTAACTTGTCATAGTTGGCCTCCAGCTTGTTCTTCTCTTCTGTCCGATGGTGGATAGTGAAAGAACTATCAAGATTATCATTCACCCTAGCACTCTTGCTATCTTCAACCATGGCCCACAGCTTCAACAATGCATTTTGCATTGTTGGGGGCCATTGGTGGTCAACCCATTCAACAAACCCACAATTCTGCCCTTCCTGCAAAAAAGGGCAAAAAGATAAAAGAATAAACATGTTACTTCAGAAGCATAAGTAAATAACTAGTGCAAAGCAATAACACTGTACATTGGTAATAATAGAACCACTAAGCTACACTAGTAATTGAGATGTACCTATCCACTAAATAACAACATGACAAATTACAACACCACTCAGCTACAGATTTGAACTAGATTTTGCTAATCAGCTACAAAACAAGAGCAATCTCAAACTGCAAACTTGGTGAACTGCCAAAGCATATGCAGTACATACTATCCATTCAACTGAATATTTCAAGCATTTAGATACATAACAACAGGTCCATCCCAACATAAAAGTTACATTTCACTCAATATTTAGTTCCAAACAGGAGCAAAAGTAACAGGAACATAATTAACAGTAGCACTGTCATTCAACTGAGTACTCCATTCAACTACATAAAAATGCCACAACAGCAACATTAAACCTGTAGAAACCCCAAACTTATTATTTCACATGATAGCAAGAACAATGCCACTGCAAAATAACAGTACCACTGTCATTGAACTACACAAGCTACTGCTGTTGCAAAAGTGAATATGCCCTTAATAATCAGGCCTTGTACTCATGTTCACTCATGTTCAATATGGCACTGTCAAACCAACAATAATATGACACTATCAACCTATATATAATATCCCACTATCAGCATAGAATTCATAGCGGCTCTGCACATGCTAGGAACCTTCTCCCTGTGTCTATTCCTTCAAATGCGACAAGCCTCTCAGATGCCTTGCCGTGCTTCTCACATGGCGACATCGTTTCCAACTCAAGCCCCTGGTAACCTGGATCTTCAACGCTGAAAGGGACCTGCCGAAGCTCGTACAATCAAAATGCCCAAATCAAAACCCAGCGAAATCAACCAAATCAAAAAGCCCCAAATCTGAAACCCTAACCCTAGACCTAGCTCAAGGAAAATCGCCTGGTTAAGCCCGTCCGTGGATGAGGTCGAGTGCATGTACGGCAGGTTGGACGTGTCCTCACTGCTTTCGTCTTTGAGAACCATGGCGGGCGGCGGTGGTCCGCTCCGGCAAAGCTGCCGGCGGTGACGAGGGCGACGAGAGAGGAGCGAGGAGGGAGGCAGGAGCGAGGAGGAACTGAGTGGAGCACGGGCCGGTCCGGTTCGAGCCGGACCGCACCTATCAAGCGAGCGGGCGCGTGCCGATTCGCCAGCGTGGCATCTGACGCGCGGGCCCGGGCGGTCAGTTCCAGCGTCAATACGTACAAATACGAAGTTTAGCCCGATTTGCAACGGTTCGACCCAAACGTGGTACTGACACGTAAATTTTTTTTCAAAAGTGGTACCAATTCGCCACCACCGCCCCAATTGTGGTACTATCGTGTAATTAACTCTGCATTGGAAGATGGATCAGATATTCTGTGCCATGAGATGTAGACTAAAATGTGCCATGAAATTGTACATTTTAGTGTTAGAGTAGTACGAGGTGGTGCCATTAGTGAAAATTGCATGTCCACGGTTATAGAAAAAGGTTGCACATCGACAATTAGCTAGTTGCACACTGATGGCTAAGTTAATTATGTTCCTGTTAGCTAGTTTTACCCAACGAGATCTTAATTGCACACAAAAATTTTCTCTTAATTGCACTGTTGCAGTTTGAGATTGCTCTTGTTTTACAGTTCACCCAACGGGATCTTAATTGCACACAAATTTTTCCTCTTAATTGCACTGTTGCAATCTCAAACTGCAACTGTTAGCTAGTTTTACCTAACCGGATGTCATTCAACGGGATCTTAATTGCACTGTCATGCAACGGTAATGAAGACTAAGTTGCACAAAAAAAAATTCATTGAAACATATCCATGCGGGATCTAGTTTCGAAAAGCATGTCGCGAGGGTTCCAACGGTGAAAACGGATCTTAATTTCGGCACGCGATTTAAAAATTATGACTTTTTAAAAATTTAAAAACTCAAATTAAATGCATTCACACATGTTCACATGGATGCTTTTTGTTTGTTTACATGATATTTTTCTAATATATAAACTAGTTTTTTAGTACTCCCTCCGTCTGAAAATACTCGTCGGAAGAATTAATGTATCTAGATGTATTTTAGTTCTAGATACATTTATTTTTAGGCATTTCTCCGACAAGTATTTCCGAACGGAGGGAGTATATAAATTAGAGGGAAGAGATTATTACTATTTATAGATTATTGGGACCAAAACTTCCCCTTTTTGGCCGGCCGCTCGGGAAGGGTAGCAAGCAGCCGGCCGCCCGCTAGACCGGCCCAAAACTATATATACCAAATACGAATTCAGCCATAAATAGAAAGTGAGATGATTCGGATGCACGTATCCACGTGTAATCCACCCACATATCCTACGAGCTAGTGCTATACCTATCGAGCTATCCCCATCTCCTCCTCCACTTCGGTCTTCCACGCCCACTTCCAGTTCCCCACACTCGCCCCCATCTTCTTCTCTTCGAGATGTTTCTTAGGATTGCGTCGTCTCCGGCCGCCGTCGCCGCGGCTAGCCAGCTCTCTGCGCCAGGACCGGCCCACGGTTCTGCGAGGCTGCCGCCGTTGGCGAAAGGGTCGTCGACGGCGACGGCGTGCAGGGCTGCGGGGAAGGGGAACAAGGAGGAGGTGCTCCTCAGCGGTGTGATGTTCCAGCCGTTCGAGGAGCTCAAGGGGGAGCTTTCGCTCGTGCCGCAGGCCGAGGGCCAGTCGCTCGCCAGGCAAAAGTTCGTCGACGAATGCGAGGCCGCCATCAACGAGCAGATCAAGTGAGTAAACCTACACCACCGCTATGCGCCTCATCATCCTGATATAAATCGACTGCGTGCAATTTGTACTACCTGCAGATTTTACTGTAAATTTGTACAAAGGACTGATGGTTTTGGTTTACTTGACCATTCTTAGCTCGCTAGATAGTGCCTGCGTCTGGTCCTGATTAGAGGAAAACTAATACTGTATGTCGGCATTGCAGTGTGGAGTACAATGCCTCGTACGCGTACCACTCCCTCTACGCCTACTTCGACCGGGACAATGTTGCCCTTAAGGGCTTTGCCAAGTAAGCACAGTGCTGTAGCTGTCTTCCATTACCAAAGCTACCAGTACAATATTCTGATCAAGCTTGGTTCTGAATTCTGATATACGACTGTTTCTTTTCTCCAGGTTTAAGGAATCGAGCGACGAGGAGAGGGAACACGCGGAGATGCTTATGGAGTACCAGGTATCAATGATTTCCTTGACCTTTAAATTATTAATACCATTGTCCTGTGCGTGGTAGCTAGAAACTGATGGATGATGCTCGGTGTATTCTTGTGTGTGTTCATCAGAACAGACGTGGAGGGCGGGTGAGGCTCCAGTCTACCGTCACCCCATTGACAGAGTTCGACCACTCTGAGAAAGGCGATGCTCTGTACGGTAAGTTTATTTATGGTTGTGGGTGTTTATGCATATTCAGTTCTTAGAAAGGGGCTGTCAGTTGTGCCAGATTAATTACCCGGGGAAAGTAACACTACTCCCTCCGTTCCATAATCATTGTCGTGCTTTTAGTTCAAATTACCACGACAATAATTATGGAACGGAGGGAGTAGTTTGCTAGATTACATGGTAAGTTGTAGGTATATGCAAAGCTATAGCTGATTATCAACTGAACATAACCTCAGTCAAACAGATGTCAATTTTTAGCTCTTGATCAGTTATGCAGCTGGTCTCCAGTGACCTTTTGAATTTGATCATGTCTGATCATGAAAAACTGTCACTACCCCTATTTGTTTTTTTTTAGAAAAGGAGGAGGACCCCCGGCCTCTGCATTTGGACGATGCATACGGCCACTTTATTAATTATTCTCACAAGACCTTACAGTGTCATACAACAATAAGACTAAAGCCACCGTCTAAGCAACAACTGTGGCTACACCTATCCAATTGATGAAGGGGCGCTGATAGCCTGGGCCTAATACCAAACAGACATCGCAGCCAGACCTAACATCTAAGACCTGAGGTCCCAACCAGGACGCCTGCCGGGTATGGCACCCACCAGTCCGGCGTGCTCCTCAACCAGGACGCCTGCCGGGTATGAAGCCGCCGCAACCACTTGCCACCAATTCATCTTCAGAGCTGTACTGCTGCATCAACCTTGCTCGGTCTAGCTGCCGCCGACGCCACCACGACGCCAGACAGTGTCGACCTCCTGCGCGTGTCCATCACCACACATCTGACGCCAAGCCTCCGCTGCTCCATGCCACCAAGAGCCGCCGCCATGAATATGTAGAACGAAACACCGCTCCACCGAAGAAGCCATCCGCTGGTCCCTCGAGCCCGAGTGCATCTCCAAGAATGCCGCCCCCATGGGGGGTAACGACACATGAATGCCGCCGTCATCCGATCAATTGATCTAGGGTTTTCCCCGGAGGTATTGGGTGGGTTTGGGGTTTGTACCTCGATGATGCCTTCATGAAGGGAACGATGATAAGGGCATCGTCATCACCGGCTCCGGCCAACGACCGAAAACCAGGTTTTCACCCGGATCCGTCCCAAGGAATCCACCCGACAACCTGTGCACCGTCTCGACCGCCTTCAAAGCCCCAGATCTAGCCACCTAGATCCGGCGACCAACCGCAACAGCAGTGCCACCGTAGGAGTTCTGGCGCACCTGCCACTGCCAGAGTGTGCCTCCAGTGGAGCCTGGGAGGAGGGCTCCCACCCCCACCTCGCCAAACCGCGAGAGCCACCGAGATGGATCCCGCGCGCTCGTCACCGTCTCAGATCCGAACCAGTCTGCAAACAGATCGCGGTCACAGATCCGCCTTGGACAGGGACTGCACCACGCCATGCCGCCGCGGGAAGCCCGAGCTTCACCCGCCACCACCATCCAGGGCCGCCGCCCCGGGATCCGGACAGAACATCGCCGCTGCCGCCGGCCTTGTTTTGCCGCCGCCGACCGGCCACCGCGACCTCCACCGCCATGCCGCCGATGGATCTGGGCGAGGATATCCATCCTCCCCGAGGGCACACGCCGCAGCCTCTTCTCCGCGTACCTCCGGTCGCACGGGAAGCCACCGTGGCCGCGTGCCCACCCCTCGCCGGATGCCGCACACGTGCCGCCCCGCCGCCGGCGAAGGCCGCCGCCACGAGGAGACCCGCACGCAGCCGCCACACAGCAAGACGTCGACCCATTTGTAGCCGCGCCATCGGGCCCGCCTCCGTCAAGATCGTCGCCGCCGCGCCGCCAATATCCGCGCGCCCCGGCGCCTCCGCCCGGCCTGGCCGCCCCCGCAGGCCATGGACGCGAGGAGGGGAGAAGGCCCCCGCCGCCAGCCACCGTGGGGGGCTTTGCCCCGGCGGCTCTGGCTGGCGGCGGCGGGGAAGGGGAGGAGGGGGAGGGCGAGCGGCAGGAGGTGGCGGCGCCGCCCAAGTCGCCCACTACCCCTATCTATGCTCACCGAAAACTGTGTTGTGTTTTTTTTTTTGAAACGGAACTGTGTTGTGTTTGAAAAGCTTTAATTTAGAAAACAATATGAATAGACAAGGGCACGAAACAATCGGAAAGAAAATAGCAAGCTGTTAAAATCCAGATATTTGCCTCATTTTCTGCTTTCATTTTGTGGGACTAGCTTGTGAAATCCTCCTGTATTCTAACTTGAACCTCTCATGTGTTTCAGCAATGGAGTTGGCTCTAGCTCTTGAAAAGCTCGTGAATGAGAAGCTGCACAACCTGCACTCTGTAAGTTGCTCCTTCATGCTTGCAAGGAGGTTATTGTAAAAGGGATGTGTGTGCGACTGCGACCAAATGAATTCCTGATTGATTTATCAGAACCAGTACGCGCAATACTGCGCCACACCATAGTTAAAATGTTCATCCAAAATTTAACAGGTGGCAACAAGGTGCAACGATCCTCAGCTGAGTGACTTTGTTGAGAGTCAATTTCTTCAGGAGCAGGTAAAAATAAAACTGCCTCAATACAGAGTCAGAGATCTGCCACACACGCACCGTAGTCTTGATTCTTGAGACGCTTTGCTTCATTTTGTGCTTTGCTGACCGAATAACTCCTGCTAAATTCTTGTGAAAGGTTGATGCCGTGAAGAAGATCTCGGAGTACGTGACGCAGCTTAGGAGAATCGGCAAAGGGCACGGTTAGTTTGTACTTGCGAGAAGCAACTGATATTGCTGCGGCATCGGATGTTTTACTTGCATGGTTTGTATGCATGCAGGGGTGTGGCACTTTGATCGGATGCTGCTTGAAGAAGAGGCCTAGAGATCAGGCCATGAATATGCATTGCTGCTCAGGGGAAGATGCATGTAGGTCACAACTCACAACTGTCAAGTAGTGGATCAGCCAACCTCTGTGGATGTGTTTCTTGGCTTTTTCAGTGGGTTTAGAGTCGTATGTAAGGTGTTTGCGTCCTCCAAAGGAACATGGCGCACTGAAAGTAGTAGAACATGTGAACGATTTTACTTCTGTGCTTGTGCTGCCAGTGGATACATTTGAAATTCGCAATAAAGCAAGGGCTATATGTAGGGTCTTGGGTAATTCTAGTCTGATCTTGTTCTTCGCAGCTGACGCATTAGCTTCAAGCCCAAGGTACTCCCCCCGGTCCTTTTTACTCTGCATATTAGGTTTGTCTGAAGTCAATCTCATCCAACTTTGACCAAGTTTTTACCCGCAAAAAAAAAAAAAAAAAACTTTGACCAAGTTTATATAAAAAATTATAGACATTCACATAACAACACCAATATCATTAGATTCATCTTGGAATATATTTTCATATTATATCTATTAAATATTATAGATGCTAATAATTTTTAATAAAAATTTGGTCAAACTTAGCAAAGTTTGACTTTCGGCAAAACCAATGTGCAGAGTAAAAAGGACCGGAGGAAGTATCTCTATGTCTTGCCAATCCCGAGGATGCATTAGTTGATGTATTAGCTTCAAGTTTGTCATGTCTGGTGGTCCTCCCTCTTTAATTCGAATAACTCAATGATCACAGGCAATAGTATCATGGGTGTTTTTTTTCGAAACGGAGGTTGAACCCTGGCACCTAGCTTGTTTGGTTGGGGGGATTTAGTGGCAGGGAATGAGAATTTAGTGGCAGGTTGAATCCTATGTTTGATGTGTGGTGGGAATTGATGGAGGGGATTTGGGAGGAAATAACATCCCACCTGAATTAACGGGGGTGGTAGGTAAAAGATCCGTGGAAATTGATCTCCTTAGTTCCGTTTCCCCTTCCCTCCTCAACTCCCTACAGTCTGTTTGGTTTGGTGGAACTGGAGAGAGGGAATGGGGGTTCGGTGGAATTGGAGAGAGGGAACGGGAGTTTGAGGCATAGAGAGTTTTATTCCTTTGTTCGTTTAGGTGGAATGGGAATTCAACAGGGAAGTGAAAGAGGAATTCACGTGTAGAAGTGCCACATATCTATTACCTGGGGGAGGGATGGTAATTGAGATGGGGAAAGGATTAGAGTTAAACTCCTATTCCCCTTCCGTTAGTTTGTCAATCCCGCATGTAAATTCCCATACCCTTTTCCCATTGTAGCCAAACACACGCTGACTTATGCACATAATTATTATTACACCGTTCAAAAATGTCTTAGGGCATCTTTAAGGTGGACTCGCAAACCGCCCACATCCATCCGGACCGCGGGAGACATCCAACACGGGTCTGTATCGGTCCACGGGGCGGTCTCAACGCGATTTCTTCCGCAAACCGAAGACAAAAATGGGGAAGGTTTACAGGAGTCCGGACACGCGAAACGTACGAATCCAACACCTCGGGTCCACCCAAAACCCTTCTCGGACCCCGTGACTCCATCCTCCTCATTTTCTCTCCTTTCTTTCTCTCTTGCCTTCACCGCCGTTCCACCTGTTGGAAATATGCCCTAGAGGCAATAATAAAATGGTTATTATTATATTTCTTTGTTCATGATAATTGTCTATTGTTCATGCTATAATTATATTATCCGGAAATCGTAATACATGTGTGAATACATAGACCACAACAAGTCCCTAGTGAGCCTCTAGTTGACTAGTGTTGGGGAACGTAGTAATTTCAAAAAAAATTCTACGCACACGCAAGATCATGGTGATGCATAGCAACGAGAGGGGAGAGTAATGTCCACGTACCCTCGTAGACCGTAAGCGGAAGCGTTATGACAACGCGGTTGATGTAGTCGTACGTCTTCACGATCCGACCGATCCAAGTACCGAACGTACGGCACCTCCGAGTTCAGCACACGTTCAGCTCGATGACGATCCCCGGGCTCCGATCCAGCAAAGCTTCGGGGATGAGTTCCGTCAGCACGACGGCGTGGTGACGACGATGGTGTTCTACCGGCGCAGGGCTTCGCCTAAACTCCGCGACGATATGACCGAGGTGGAATATTGTGGAGGAGGGCACCGCACACGGCTAAGGAACGATCCGTAGATCAACTTGTGTTGTCGTGTCTAGAGGTGCCCCCTGCCCCTGTATATAAAGGAGCAAGGGGGGAGGGGGTGGCCGGCCTAGGAGGGGCGCGCCAAGGGGAGTCCTACTCCCACTCCCTCCTTCCTTGTTGGAGTAGGAGAAGGGGGGAAAGAGGGGGAGAGGAGGAAGGAAAGGGGGGCCGCTCCCCTTGTCCAATTCGGACCAGAGGGGGGCTGCGCGCTTCCTTCCTTTCGGCCTCTCTCCTCTATTCCCGTATGGCCCAATAAGGCCCATATACTCCCCAGCGAATTCCCGTAACTCTCCGGTACTCCGAAAAATACCCGAATCACTCGGAACCTTTCCGAACTCCGAATATAGTCGTCCAATATATCGATCTTTACGTCTCAACCATTTCGAGACTCCTCGTCATGTCCTCGATCTCATCTGGGACTCCGAACTCCCTCGGTACATCAAAACTCATAAACTCATAATATAACTGTCATCGAAACCTTAAGCGTGCGGACCCTACGGGTTCAAGAACTATGTAGACATGACCTAGAACTATTCTTGGTCAATAACCAATAGCGGAACCTGGATGCTCATATTGGCTCCTACATATTCTACGAAGATCTTTATCAGTCAAACCGCATAACAACATACGTTGTTCCCTTTGTCATCGGTATGTTACTTGCCCGAGATTCGATCGTCGGTATCCAATACCTAGTTCAATCTCGTTACCGGCAAGTCTCTTTACTCGTTCCGTAATGCATCATCCCGTAACCAACTCATTTGGTCACATTGCTTGCAAGGCTTATAATGATGTGCATTACCGAGAGGGCCCAGAGATACCTCTCCGACAATCGGAGTGACAAAACCTAATCTCGAAATACGCCAACTCAACATGTACCTTCGGTGACACCTGTAGTACTCCTTTATAATCACCCAGTTACGTTGTGATGTTTGGTAGTACCCAAAGTGTTCCTCCGGTAAACGGGAGTTGCATAATTCTCATAGTTACAGGAACATGTAGAAGTCATGAAGAAAGCAATAGCAATATACTAAACGATCAAGTGCTAGGCTAACGGAATGGGTCAAGTCAATCATATCATTCTCCTAATGATGTGATCCCGTTAATCAAATGACAACTCTTTTGTCCATGGCTAGGAAACATAACCATCTTTGATAAACGAGCTAGTCAAGTAGAGGCATACTAGTGACTATATGTTTGTCTATGTATTCACACATGTATCATGTTTCCGGTTAATACAATTCTAGCATGAATAATAAACATTTATCATGAAATAAGGAAATAAATAATAACTTTATTATTGCCTCTAGGGCATATTTCCTTCAGTCTCCCACTTGCACTAGAGTCAATAATCTAGTTCACATCACCATGTGATTTAACACCAATATTCACATCTGTATGTGATTAATACCCATAGTTCATATCGTCATGTGATCAATGCCCAAAGGGTTTACTAGAGTCAATAATCTAGTTCACATGGCTATGTGATTAACACCCAAAGAGTACTAAGGTATGATCATGTTTTGCTCATGAGAGAAGTTTAGTCAACGGGTCTGTCACATTCAGAGCCGTATGTATTGTGCAAATATTCTATGTCCATAATGCTCTGCACGGAGCTACTCTAGCTAATTGCTCCCACTTCCAATATGTATCCAGATTGAGACTTAGAGTCATCTAGATTGGTGTAAAAGCTTGCATCGTTGTAACTTTTTACGACGGGCTCTTTTATCACCTCCATAATCAAGAAACATCTCCTTAGTCCTCACTAAGGATATTCTTGACCGCTGTCCAGTGATCTACTCTTAGATCAAAATTGTATTCCTTTGTCAAACTCAGAGCAAGGTATACAATAGGTCTGGTTCACAGCATAACATACTTTATAGAACCTATGACTGAGGCATAGGGAATGACTTTTCATTCTATTTTCTGCAATGGTCGGGTCTTGAGTCTTACTCAACTTCACACCTTGTAACACAGGCAAGAACTCCTTCTTTGACTATTCCATTTTGAACTATTTCAAAAATTTATCAAGGTATGTACTCATTGAAAAATCTTATCAAGCGTCTTAATCTATCTCTATGGATCTTGATGCTCAATATGTAAGCAGCTTCACCGAGGTCTTTCTTTGAAAAACTCTTATTCAAGTATCATTTCATGCTATCCAGAATTTCCATATCATTTCCAATTAACAATATGTCATCCACATATAATATTAGAAATGCTACAGAGCTCCCACTCACTTTCTTGTAAATACAGGCTTCTTCAAAAGTCTGTATAAAACCATATGCTTTGATCAACTCATCAAAGCGTATATTCCAACTCCGAGATGCTTGCACCAGTCCATAGATGGATCGCTGGAGCTTGCACAATTTGTTAGCACCTTTAGGATTGACAAAACCTTTTGGTTGCATCATATACAACTCTTCTTTAATAAATCATTAAGGAATGTAGTTTTGACATCCATTTGCCAGATTTCATAAAATGTGGCAATTGCTAACATGATTCAGATAGACTTAAGTATCGATACGAGTGAGAAAATCTCATCGTATTCAACACCTTGAACTTGTCGAAAACCTTTTGCAACAAGTCGAGCTTTAGTAGATAGTAACACTATCAGCGTCCGTCTTCCTCTTGAAGATCCATTTAATCTCAATGTCTCGCCGATCATTGGGCAAGTCAATCAAAGTCCATACTTTGTTTTCATACATGGATCTTATCTCAGATCTCATGGCCTCAAGCCATGTTGCGGAATCTGGGCTCACCATCGCTTCTTCATAGTTCGTAGGTTCGTCATGGTCTAGTAACATAACTTCCAGAACAGGAT